ATTGGCTTGGGAAACTGAACGTTTCAGAATAAATTGCCAAGCCGAAGCCGGTTTGGCTCAGTGGAAAGAGCGTCAGCCTGCGGACTGAAAGTTCCCAGGTTCGATTCCACTCAAGGGCATGTATCGTGGTTGCAGGCATATCCTCAGTAGGGGGTGTGCAAGAGGCAGCTGGTCGATGATTCTCTCATCCATGTTTCTAACTCTCTCTCCCTCTCTCTTCCTCTCTGCAAAAAAAAAAAAAAAAAAAAAAAAAAAAAAAAAAAAAAAAAATCAATAAAATATATTTAAAAAGAATAAATTGCTGCTGGAAAAGCTGGATCCAGGAGCTTAAAATACATAATAATCAAGGTTCTTGACTCCCTCGGGAGCTCTCAGCCCTGCTTTCCCTGCACCGGCTCCCGGCTGAGGCAGTTCGGGCTCACATTCTACCAGCCTAGTGATTCCTGCAGAGAGAAAGCCTTTCCTGCCTGCAGGTCCAGGACTGACTCAGGGTGTCACGTGTCTGTCCGTGAACTGCTCACTGCAGCAAGGGGCTGGCCAGGCCTGGGTCATGTGCCCACATGGGGGTGTCAGCCTCTGGGAGAGGAGAGGATAATTCCCCAAAGGAAAATCCAGGTGCTTTTGAAAATATATGTAAAGCCCTAGCTGGTTTTGCTCAGTGGATAGAGCGTCAGCCTGTGACTGAAGGATCCCAGGTTCAATTCCACTCAAAGGCCCATGCCCGGGTTGCAGGCTGGATCCCCAGAAGGGCGTGTGCAAGAGACTGCTGATCAATGATTCTCTCTTATCATTGATGTTTCTATCTCTCTCTCCCTCTCCCTTCCTCTCTAAAATCCATTATATCTATATATACATACGTGTGTGTGTGTGTGTGTGTGTGTGTGTGTGTAAAAATAATGGACAGGTGGAAATGACTGATGGCAGCTATATCCCAAGCAATGCTCTTCTCTTGTCATTCTCTCACCCTCTGACCAGTTGACCATCTTTGCTTCACGGGCTCCCGATATTATTAGCACTTCCAGTTTCCAGATCACCAGAGCACATGTCCATGTGCTCTCTCATTCCCTGTGAGGAAGGTACTGTCATGCCCATTCTCCAGGTGAAGAGATGAAGGCCAAAAAGAGGCTTGCTGGGTGTCCCAGGACCTTGCAAACTGCCCGGTCTGTCTTACTCTCTCTGGTTTCGCATATCCGTCCCTTCTTCGCAGAGAGAGGGCCGCCCGGGCCAAGACCACAGCGTCCTAATTCTGTCTTGCCCTCCGATCCAGTGTCTTGCCTTCCTGCAGAAGCGTGGGAGGAGTGAACGTGTCCACGCCGCTTGCCTGGGGTCTGAGCAGGGCACAGGAACGCCAGGTGGGAAGGCTGAGCGGCCCAGGCTGTGGGGAGAAGGTGGGAGCCAGATTTGTGAAGCACCAGGAAGAGCCGGAAGCCCAGCAGGAGGGCAACAGAGGAAAAACACCAGCCTGGGGAAGAAAAGTCCCGGTTGAGTCCCGGCTCTGCTCTGCCCTTTCCCATGTACATCCTCTTGAGCAAGATGCTCAGAACACATGGTGCCTCAGTTTCCCCATCTGCAGAATGGGGCCCACCTCTCAACCCACGAGTGCAGGCAAACTTGGGAGGTTGCAGGGTGTCACAGGTCAGACAGCTCCGACACTTTCCAGGGCTGGGCTTCCGGCTCTTCTTTCCTGGCGCCCAGCAAACCTGGCCTCCCACCTCCTCCTCGCAGCCTGCGCAGCTCAGCCTTCCCACCATGCGTGCCGGTGGAGTTCACATAGAACACCCAGTGATGACCATCTTGTCCACTGGAGGTCCTCCACCCCCTTTCTCTCAGCCCTCCCAGGTACCCGCCATGGGGAAGCGAGAGGTGGGACCTTAAAGCATTCCCCTCACCAGGTTTCCCCTCCCAGGGTCAAAGGTGGGTGGGAGGGGCAGAAGCAAATCTTGCTAGACCTGGGTGCCGGGTGGGATGGGTGCATGTGGACAAGGGGAGAGAGACCCAGTGATCATGGGACTCCGGGCCTCATCCACCCCCCTCTCTTGGGAGGGGGTGGGCAGTGCAGTGCCTAGCCTCAGGGCCTCATATCCTGTTCAGGAGACTCAGAGATGTGGCCCCAGCTCCAACCTCACCTCCCCCAGCCTTCCGGCGCACCAAAGCCCATCTTGGTTTCACCCAGGAACTCGTTCCAGCCCTCAACGATGATGACATCACAGGGCCCAGGGATTCCCCTCTTGAGTTCCAGTCTTCATTCTGTCACTGCCCCACTGGGTGGCCTTGAATGAGATGTTTCCCTTCCTGATTCCATCCTGACGTCACATCTGAAGCTTCTGCCTTCTGATTCCTGAGCTCAGGATTCGCAGGCAACCCGAGGGAGTGCTCCACAGGCCAGCGCTGGGTCAGGGCTTGGAAAATCATCAGGAAATGGGTGTATGGTTCTTTCTCTTTTCAAAAATCATCTAGGGCCAAACCGGTTTGGCTCAGTGGGTAGAGAGTCAGCCTGCAGACTCAAGGGTCCCGGGTCCGATTCCAGTCAAGGGCATGGACCTTGGTTGTGGCCACATCCCCTGTGAGGGTTGTGCCGGAGGCGGCTGATCGATGATTCTCTCTCATCGGTGTTTCTAGCTCTCTATCCCTCTCCCTTCCTCTCTGTAAAGAAATCAAAAAATACATTTTTTTAAATCATGTAGGTTTTCATTCTCTATATAATAACAGTGGCATCATTTGAAATTTGAAATTACTTTTCAATGAGGAAACTGAGGTCCAGGCCAGGCCTGTGACTCACCTGAGGCCCAGGCGTTAGTTGCACAATGCAGTCCACACGGGATTCTTGGCTTCCTTTCCCGCAGTGCTCACCCCTCACCGCATCCCTTCCATTTCCTGCTGGCCCCAGCCCAAGCCTCAGCCCACTGGCCAAGATCTAATTGTGGAAACTGAGGCTCAGGTAGGCAGAGACGGGCCCATCCTCCAAGGATGTGAACAGAGGCAGGCAGAAGGAACAGCAAGTGCAAAGGCCCTGAGGCAGGAGCATGCTTGGCATGTTCTAGGAGCAACGAGGAGGCCGGCATGGCTTGAGGGGTATGAGTGAGGGGAGAGGGAGCAAGATAAGCAAATGTAACATGCCCATGGCCCACAAGCTTTATGGCAGGAAGAATAAGCCATTCAGGGGGAAGCCAGTGACAAGGCCCATAAGGCAGGGAGTGCATTCTAGGCAGAGACCAGCCTGGGAAAGGCAAAGAAGTATGAGGGGGCCCATCGCGTTCAAGCATGAAGCTCCAGGGGCTGGAGAGTGGAAGTGAGAGGTGAGGCTGGAGGAGCCTCATGGAGGAGCCAGGCTGAGAAGGGCAGAGAAGCAGCAAGGGCAGAGGTCTCAGGGAACCCTATGAGAAGGTTGGGAGGACCAGAGAGCAGGAGATAGGATTCAGGATTGGAGAGGTCAGGTGTGGCTGTGGTCAGGGAATGAGTGGATGGGCATGTCTCTAGGATGATGGCAAGACTTGGGGATGTGAGGAAAGCCAGCCAGAGCCTCTGTCAGTCCTCACCATGAGCCTAAGGATGTGTAGGACCTCCTGCAGGGAGCGCAGTGTGCATGGGATGGGGCAGGGGGATGAGCTGCCACCACTGGGGGGCACAGCAAGGGAAACCAGTCTGGGCTAGGCAGGTGCCAGCCGCTCTTCCTTGTCCTTCTCCTCCAGCAGTCCCCTGGGATTGATCCCTGGCTGGTGCTGGTACTTCCCTTACAGTTGGTCCCAGGCTACCCTGGTGGGCAGTGCCAAGGCAGAGCTGAGGAGACAGGGTATAGGAAGGGGAAGCCCCCTTGGTTTCTGTCTCACAGCCGTGACCCAATAGGGAAACCCCGCAGGTCCCAAAAGGAAAGTGGCAGCAGTGGGCCTCAGGGAAGACCAAGAAACCCCCATTTTCTCCCTGAAGATGGGAAATCCAGGGCGGGGCTTCGGGGTGGGGGGGTGGGGGGGAGAGGCTGTGCTGGAAGGAAGATCTGTGGTTGATGCGACCCACCCTTGACAGATGTCCACAGAGCAGAAACTATTCTGGAACCTGGCTAAGGCCTGGTCTTGACCTCACACAACCCAACCTGGCCACAGGCTGAGCCCTAACCTGCTCATCAACTGAGCTCTTATCCCAGCCCACACCGGAACCCTGACCTGAGTCACAAGCTTTCAGAACCTTGGCCACAGACCAAGCTCTGGGCCCTCTCTGGACTGAGCCCAACCCTAGTTCATCCCAAGTAGAGCCCAGGCCATTAATAGCCCTGACCCCAAACACAGAGCCAGGATGCTGGTCCCAGCCAAAGCTCTGAGTCCAACCCTAGACCATGTTCTGATCCCAAGAACAGAGTGAGCTCTAATTCAAGATCTGACTCTGGTGAAAGCCTGAGCTCTTGGCCCTGAATGAAACTTCTCATCCAGCCCTGACCTAGGCTATAGACTGAGCCCTGACTCTGGCCAGACTGAGACCCCTGTGCCCCACACAAAACCCCATCCCAGATACCCAATGAGCCCCAAGTTCCCTTGGATTCCCATCCTCAGCCATCTGGTAAACCAGAAGAGAGTAAGACCCCAAGGCCCCTCTGATGGGCAGTCTCCTTACCTGGCCATTCATCTTTTGAAGGACAATAGGCTGGTGATGGCACTAGAACAATAATGACAGAGCAGAGAAACAGAAGGGGATTCAAGTCTCTGGGACCTACCAGCAAACAGAGCAGGTGGCTCACCTGAGAGTGGAGAAGTGAGGGAAAGACTGGACCTGGGGCTCAGCAGGGTCAGCAACTTGGATTGACTGAACCCCAGCTTCCCGCCATCCCCCACCACACCCCCTCTGGGAAGGGAAATTACATTTCCCCATTTTAGCAAGGGGTGGTGAGGAGGGAAGAGTGAGTTAAAGCAAAGCTGAAAGTACAAGCAGCACGGAAAGTGAAACTGGGCACAGCCCCCAGTATAAGACTCCCCCGGCCCGGAGATGGCTGGCCAAAGAGGCTGGGCCCTGCCATGGGCCAGAAGGCAGGCGACCTTGGCTGGCGTGAGTTTGAGGCCAGGGCTGGGGGACAGGGGTGGGAGGCTTGGCTGAGATTGGGCAGAGGATGGGAGAGTTTGACTGATGTGGATGGGGGTGAAGGGCTGAGGGACTACTAGTATTTGGCAGGGACTAAGGATAGGAAGGAGGGTCCTAGCTGGCTTGGCTCAGTGGATAGAGCGTCAGCCTGCAGACTGAAGGGTCCCAGGTTCGATTCTGGCTAAGGGCACATGCCTGGGTTGCGGGCTCGATCCCCAGTTGGGGATGTGCAAGAGGCTGCTGATCAATGATTCTTTCTCATCATTGATGTTTCTATCTTTCTCTCCTTCTCCCTTCCTCTCTGAAATCAATAAAGAAATATATATATATTAAAAAAAATAGGATAGGAATGAGGCAGTCATGAATGGGGAAGAGGAGGTGGACAGTCAGGTGGTGGTTCAGCCGGGACTGGATAGAGGGAGGAGGAGACAGTTTGGTTGGCATGGATGGAGAGAGTTGGACAGGCAGGTTGACCAGAACCAAGACCTGGCAGATAAATGAAGAGCTGGGTTGGAGTGAATGAGCAAAGACCAGACAACTTGGCTGGGCATTGGATCTGGCTAGAGGAAGAACAGCAGGAAGAGTTGCCGTGAGTCAGGGGCTGTGGCCAAGGAGTCAGCAGCCTTACTCGGTCAAGGGTCTGTAGTTCAAACCCTGGGAGGGGTCTGCAGTTGGAGACTGAAGGATTCAGAGGCTGGGACCAGAGCAGACAGTAGGGTCAGAGTAGGGACCAAGGACTAAAGGATGGGGACAGAACCTTCAAGGACCAGGACCAAAGACCCAGGACTGTCTGCCAAGGGAAGGGGCTGGGGGCTCCAGAGCTCAGGCAGGAAGTGGAGGGTCAGTAAGAAATGACATAATATCCACCAGTCTGGGCACCCCTCTCCCTCAACACAGACCTGGGAAGAACCCACTCTGCTCAAAGTCTCCAGGAGATCAGAGTGGGCCCCAAGTCAGGGAGCCTGGAAATTAGAGAGCCAGGCACTGCCCATCCACTCTGGAAGTCCACGGGGGAAGTGGATGTACCCAGAAACTCCCCAGGGTCTTTATGGAGAGGACATTTCGAGGAGCAAAGCTCAGGGTGAGAGATCAAGAACAGACAGGGAAGAGGCAGGGAGAGGGGGTGAGCAGGAACAGACTTAGGGACTCTTTTGGTTTGTGTTTCAAGGAGAATTGTGTAACCCAGTGATTGCTAGGTTTCCTCTCCCTGAGGGAGAAACCGCTAAACACTGCTCTCTTCCCAGAGCTCCGGCCCCATCTTGCCTCTTCCTTTTGCTCAGGAAACACAGGACAGGAAGCACTTTCAGAAATCAGCTAGGCCGACTCCCCCGTTTTACAGACGGGAGCCTGTGGCACAGAAATAAGAAGTCACTTGCTCAAGGGAAGAATCCAAATGAGAAACAGGCTCTACCTCCCATTCCAGGCCTTCTCCCTCTCCTAGCACCCCTGTTCCTCCCTCACTGCAGAGTGACCCACTCGCCTTGGTCGCGACTGGATCAGTCTGCCCTCTGACTCCCTGGGATAGAGCCTCCAGCAGAGCCAGCCCCTCGGGGCCCCAGGTGGGGCCATCAGAGCCACCTGACCAAGCCCGAGGAATCCTTGGCAGAACAGTGTGTGCCTGCCCCAGGGGAGGTGGTGCCTGCTCTCAGATCCCCCGGGGGAGCTCACAGGGTCTGCATTTGGACAGACCCAGAGTGCAGTCCTGATTCCCTCACCCTCTGACTCTGTACCTTGGCAAGTACCCCTCTCTGAGCCTCACTTTCCTCGTGTGCGAAATGGGAAGAATGGCCCCCAGGCTGCCACACTGAGCAGTGCAGTTAGTTCATTTGGCCAAGGGAGTGAGTGGGGGCTGTGAGAGGCTGTGTCTGCCTGGGGGAGAGGGCACTTGCCTTTCAGTCACTCTGATGTGCCATATGGCGTCTTCAATAGCTTTCATCTCACTAGCGGTTTTGAGGGGTCAGTGGGATGATACACAGCCCATAGCATAGGCTTAGAAAAGGCTCCTTCTCTTGAGTTCTCCCTTCGCTCAAGCTCTCCTCAAGCTCTCCCCTCATTTTGCCCACCCTCTCCCCATCTCTCCAGGGCTTGGCCTTTTGCTGCTCTCCTTGCTCCTGGCTCGAGCTGGCGTCTGGGGTTTTCCAAGGCCCCCAGGGAGACTCCCCCTGAGCCTAGAGGGGGAGTTCAAGGTCAGCCTGCATCTTGCCAGGAAGCTGCTGTCCGAAGTTCGGGCCCACACCCACCGCTTTGTGAGTTTCCCTAACGCAACTGGCTCTGGGCATGGGCAGATCCTTATTCCCATCTGGCCCCCACTAACACACCTTGCCCTACAGGCTGAAGCTCACCTGCCAGGAGTGAACCTGGACCTCCTGCCCCTGGGACAGCAGCTCCCCAATGTTTCCCTGACCTTCCAGGCCTGGTGCAGCCTCTCTGTGAGTTTGTGGGAGATGGGGTGGGGGGAGTGAGCTGGCAATAAAGCTGGGCTGTGTGGGTAGAAATGAAGTCAGGGATTGAATTGAAGATAGATTTGGGGATAAATTGAAGGATAGAATCTGGATGAGGTTGAGTATGTCATTGGCTATAAAGATGAAGCTAAATAAAGAAATGGAGTTAGCCAAAACCGGTTTGACTCAGTGGATAGAACGTTGGCCTGAGGACTGAAGGGTCCAGGGTTCAATTCCAGTCAAGGGCATATACCTTGGTTGCTGGCACATCCCCAGCAGGGGTGTGCAGAAGGCAGCTGATCGATGTTTCTCTCACATTGATGTTTCTAACTTTCTGCCTCTCTCCCTCTCTGTAAAAAAAAAAATCAATAAAAATATTTTTTTTAAAGAAATGGAGTTAAAAAGAGTGTACGAGTGAAGCTGGGCATGGAAAGAGGTGTGAGTGGGAATGGAATGAGATTAGCGATAGAAATTAGTATGGAGGAGGGATGAGAATGGGGAGAGATTGGAAGAAGGTTGGGGATGAGAAGGGGTGTGGATTACTGGTATGGCTGGGAATGAAATGGAGTTGGGATGGAGTTGGAGATGGAATAGAGAGAATGAGTCTGGACATATGGTTGAGGAATCTAATTGGGAATAGGAATGGGAGTAAGGATAGGAAAGAGGTTGTAGACAGACTGAAAACAACTGAGGAGCTGGAGCTAGGATGGGATGGTGAAGAAAGGAATAAAATGGGTGTATGGATAAAGCGTGATAAGATAATGGAGATGGGGTTGTTGTGAGATATGAGTTCGTGCATGCAACTGAAAGTGAGGTTGGGAAAGGAGAGAGGATAGAGGGCAAAGACAGCGGAGACTAGAATGGTGATGAGAGAAAGGAAGGGAAGGAGTGGAGGAGATGAAGTTGAGGATGAGAACAGATATTCGGGTGGAGTTTGGGTTGGGACCCAGAGAGACATGAAATTGGGTTTGACGTGGGTCATTCTTGCCCTGTGGACCTTTTCTGACTCCTTCCCTCTGCTTCCACAGGGATCAGAGCGACTGTTCTTCCTCTCCATGACACTTCACCCCTTTCAAGCCCTATTGGGCGGGCTGGGGGCCCAGGGGGGCTGGACCAGCTCAGAGAGGATACAGCTGTGGGCCATGAGGCTGGATCTCCGAGATCTGCAGCGGCATCTTCGCTTCCAGGTAGAGAACCCGCCCACCCTCCTTGACCCCCAGAGACCAAAACTGAGTGTCATTGGCTCCCTTTTAAAAATACCCCTACGCTGAAACCGGTTTGGCTCAGCGGTAGAGCGTCGGTTTGCGGACTGAAAGGTCCCAGGTTCGATTCTGGTCAAGGGCATGTACCTTGGTTGCGGACACATCCCCAGTAGGGGGTGTGCAAGAGGCAGCTGGTCGATGTTTCTCTCTCATCGACATTTCTAGCTCTCAATCTCTCTCCCTTCCTCTCTGTAAAAAAATCAATAAAATATATTTAATTATGAAAAAAAAATACCCTTATGCCCACAGGTGGGGTAAGTCTGAAGGGAGATCCTACAAGTGTGTATGTGTGAAGGGTGTGTGTGTGTGTGTGTGTGTGTGTGTGTGTGTGTGTGTGTAGCTGCACCAGGTGCTGGCTCTACCTGAATCTCTTGGGGTCTTGGTCTTAAACGAGAAAGCAGCTCTGAAGCACCCAGCACAGCATCCCGCACCAGCAGGACCAACCATAAAGCTGGTTCCCTTCTCCCTGTCATCCTCTGACATCATCAGGTCCTGCTACGCATGTCACAGGGAAATAAGAATTTTACCTTTATTAAAAGGAGAATCGAAAACGCAAGCAGCAGAAAGACCTGCTGCTTTATATCATCTTTCTGCCCATTTCTGATCCTAAGATGCCCCTTAAGAGAGGAATTTCCAGAACCCCAAATGCCCAGAGCAATCCTGGATAAGTGAGCCAGCTCCCTCCTTGAGCACCAGCTTGCTCTGTAACTTCCATTTTCTTGAAGCAAAAAAATCCAGACAGGATACATGAGGTGATGACATAATGGAAGATCTGAAGTAGGGGCTGTCCAGGGAAATCATGACTATGGTTTCTGACCTCATGGGGCACCACTAAGCACGGATTCACTCAGCATCTCAGCTGGACCATATCCTGACCGTGGGCCTCTCCTCACAGGTGCTGGCTGCAGGATTCAACCTCCCTGAGGAGAACACGGAGGGGAAGGGGCTGCTTCCGGGGGCCCTGGACGGCCCCTCACAGACGTCAGCCCGGATGTCCTGGTCGCAGCTCCTCTATGCCTATCGGTTGCTGCACTCCTTGGAGCTGGTCTTGTCGCGGGCCGTGCGGGACTTACTGCTGCTCTCCCAGGCCAAAAACCCAGGCCAGGCCTTGGGGTGCCCACCACTGGCCAGCTCCCAGCCCTGATGGAGTGATTTCTCAGCCCCTTCCCTCATTGGTTACGACTTTACGATGAGTCTGGGCCAATAGGACAGCCACCAGCTCCCTGCCTTAGACAAGGAAGGAAGCCACTGCCCTCTCCCCAGACCCTACCCAATAACTTAAGGCCCCTCCAGTCCTTGCTGGGTATTTATTTCATGGATATTTATTTATTGCTCAGGGAAACGATGGTTTATTTATTGTATCAGGACCTGCTGGCTGTCCTCGGCTAGGCCGCCATTTTGGGTGCCTAATAAAGCACTCTCACCCTCTCTCTGCCTCCAGTTCTTTTCAGAGAAGGGGTGTCTGATACCCAAGGAGGGCACAGAGTGGGCTCAACAGCCTTTGGCCACCCTGGATCCCTCTCTGCTCCTACATGTTGGGGTTCGTGGCCCACTTTTCTCCACTCTGGCTCGCTCAGCTGGTGATTGCCACAGTAACCAACAGAGTTTTGAGGCTGAGCTCCCATGTTGGAACCTTAAGGTGGCTGGTCCACTTACATCAAACCTTTGATTGTAAATGGAGCTTCATAGGCCCTCCCAGCCCCTTTCCTCCCCGCTGCCTTCCAGCCCAGAGGTTTGCCTGCCTCCCACAGCTCTCCGCGGCCTTGGGGAGCAGCTTGTGGAGTGGGGGCAATCGGAGAGGGAAGGCTGTGGGAAACTGTCTCTGTCCCCTCTCAGGCCTCCAGACAGCTGCCAAGACCAGCTGGGAGGTAGTCAGGACAGGCTGTGAGCGGTGGTTCCCGTGGGGCAGGCAGTCCACCAGCTGCATTGGCGAGTCAGATTCCTTAAGTTCATGATTCTCCAAGATGTCTGGTTCAGTCTGCACCGTGGATGAAACGGCAAGAAACAGGGGCCCAGAGGGTGGACAGGGTGCATCCAAGTGGCCGAGTTCAGCCGAGCCTTCCGCCTCTCGCTCAGGGCCTGGCTCCCGGGTCGCGGTGCCGTCACTGGGGCTTTGGCCGGCCCAGTCTGGCCTGCAGTTCCTGCATCATGCCGGGGTGTGCAAAGCCAAACCTGGAGACAGAAGACAGGCCGGGAGCTGGTCTCCAGTGTCCGGACCTCCTGCCCAGCCCAGCCCAGTCACTTCACCCAGCGCTTACCCTTGTCCCAGGGGCCTCCTCCTCGCTGGCACCGGGGTCCCTTCAGGCCTAGGGAGGCTTAGCTCTGAGGGTTCCTCTGGGTGGAGGGGTCTCTGCTCAGGCGCTGGCAGCTCTTCCTCCGGCGGCGGGGGGCTGGCAGGCTCCTGCTGCTGCTCCGGGGTGGGGATGCGGCGGAAAGAGGGCCTGGAGCGGCGCTGTGAGGAGCTGCGGGACAGGAGCACGCGGCTCCGGGGGACAGAGACGTCCAGGCGAGACACGGGGAGGAGGGCCTGCAGGGAGGGAGCACTGGGTGGTACGGGGCTGGCTTCCGGACTCTGGTCCATTTGGCTCTGGACCCTTCCTGTAGCCCTTACCTCACTCCAGCTGCCGTGCACATCCCCTCCGGCAGCCTCTTCGCATGGCCCAGGGCCCCGGTTTGCTGGCTGGTCCTCCTGGCCCTGGACGTCCTGCAGGTCTGCTGCATCCAGCTCCTTGGCCTCTGCCCTCTGGTGTCCGCTCCCCTCCATGTCCTCCGTGTCACAGGGCATCTGTGCCTCTCCCTCAGGGCCCTGGTCCCCACGCTGCCCCTCGCTGCCTCGCCCCTGCCGCCTCGCCTCCCATGCCCCAGCCTCTGTTTCTGACAGCATCTGCCCTTCTGGGAACCCGTTGACCTCCACTATGACCGGGGCCCCCTCTGCCCTCACCGCCTGGGAGCCCGAGATGAAGTCACCCACCCCACAGCTTCCTTCGGCCGCTACCGATTCCCCAGCCTCCGCCCTCTCCCCCCCTGGCTCATGCTCCCCAGCCTCAAAAGCCTCCACTTGGCCACCTCTGCCAGTAACCTCCTCTGAGGAACCATCCAGGCCAAGTTCCTGCCAGCCTCTGCTCTCTCCCTCTGCAGCCTCCATCACCTCTGCACCTCTGCCAGCTTCCTCGTTTCCTTCTGAGTCCCAGCCCCTTCCAAATGCCCCATCCCACGCTTCCCCTGCCCCTCCTTCAGGCCCTTCCCCAGTCCCAGCGGCCCTTCCATCCGCAGCTGCCTTCTGTGTCTCAGTCCCAGCAGCCGAGGAGCCAGCCTCTGTGTCCTCACTGTCCCGGGAGCTCAGCGCTGCCTCCTCCAGCCTCCAGTCTCCCCTGGGTGTTCCCTCTACCTCCCAGGGCCCTGCGGCCCCCACCTCCTCCTCATTAGTTTCTCTGGCTTCTGACTCTCCCAGGGACCAGCCTGTCCCTAACTCTGCCCCGTGCCTTCCGCCCAGCTCCTGGCTGTCCACTCCATGCCCTGCTTCCTTCCACTCCCCGCCTGCCTCCAGGGCCCCTGGCAGTGCAGATTCCTGGCCTCCTGCAGCCTCCCCCTCCTCCTCTTCCATACCTACGTTTTCCTCCTGCGAATTCCCTCTCCGCACATCCCTTTTTCTCCGGCTTTCCCCGGCTTCTGCATCAGGCCTTCCAGAGCCCGCGGGCCTGGGACTGGCCTCCAGGCTCCTTCCTGCCTCCTCTTTGCTCTGGGCTGGGATGCCCCAGAGCCTTTCCTTTGCCTGCTGTCCTTCCCCGGGTGGTCCCTCTGGGGTGTGGGGGCCTCCTATCCGCTCAACATCCCAAACGTCAGTGACCTTGTGCTCTGGGCCACCACCCTCTACCCCAAATTCTTCTCTACCCACCTGAGCTCCCTCCTCACTCCTCTCCCTCAACTCCTTTCCAGGTGTGGCCTTTGGGGTCGCCTCCCAGTCAGCATCACCTTCAGCCTTGCTTGTGCCTTTGTCCCGGGAGAACTCAGCCTCTGGGGCCCAGCGGCTCTCTTTCTCCTCCTCGGCCTCCTGTGCCGGCACCGCTTCCTCCGGGTCGGCTTGAGCAGCCATGATCTCTGAGTCTTGCCTTCCATTGGCCTCTTTCCCATCCTGATCTGCCTGACCCTCCGAGCCCTCCCCTGTCCCCCACTCCGACCCCTGGCCTTCCGCGCTCTCCTTCCCTGCTGTCTGGACCTCAGCCATTTCTCCCATTCCTTCAGCTCCCAGGGCCTGAGTCTGTTTCAGGGACAGGCTCACCTCAGCCTCTCTATTTCCACCCACCTCCTCCTCCTGGGCTCCCCTGGAGGCCTCTTCTAGGGCCCAGACTCTCCCTGTACATTCTAGACTCCTGCATCCTGGGGCTGCCCCATTTTCTGTCTCCCTCACTCCTGGGAAGTCAGCCGCCTCCTCCCCACCTGAGGCTGTCCAGGCCTCCTCCTCACCTGAGGCTGTCTCAGCCTCCCCACCTGAGATTGTCCAGGCCTCCTCCCTTCCTGAGGTTGTCCTGACCTCCTCTCTGCCCAAGGTTGCCCCATCCTCAGATGCTGTCCCTGGGTCCCGAGTCCCCTGTGCCTCTGTGCTTTGGCCATCCCACTCCACGGCCACCACCTCTTCTTCCCTCCCGGTCTCTTTGACCCCAGCTCCCTGGATCTCCTCTGCAACTGCCTTGACTGCCTGTTCTGACTCCCTGCCATCCCCTGCTGCCCTTTGCCCATGGGCACCAGCCTTTCCCTTAGGCTCCGTACACCCGGTCCACTCTGACTCCACCCCTCTGACCCCCCCTGGCTCTCTTGCCCTAACCTCTTCCTCCTCCTCCTCCTCCTCCTCCTGTTCCCAGGTTCTCGGTGTCTCTTCTCTGTTCACTTCCTGCTCATTGCACTCCTGCCTCTCCTGGGCTGGGCCAGTCTCAGACTCTGCGTCAGACTTCTTTCTGGCCTCCAAGAGGGCACTTGGCTCCTGGCACCTGGAGGCCTTGGCTGCCTCCCACGCCCCAGTGTCCTGCCTATCTCCTTGAGACCCATGGGAGCTGCCTTCTCCCCAACTCCAGGTCTGTTCTGTAGCTGAGCTTCCCTCCTGGTATCTTCTAGCCTCTCCAGGCCCTCTCGGTCCTCCGTCCCCCTTGCTTTGGCTGCCTCCCACACCCTCCAGAGCCTCCTGGGCTTCCTCCTCTACGCTTCTTCCTGGCCTTCCTGGAGCCACCTCCCCCGGTTTCTCAGCTGCCCATGCCTCCCTCCTCTCTACAGTGGGGACCTCATCTCCCAAAAGGTAGGAGACAAAGGTGCTAAAGGATTCCTAGAAGAATGGGGAGAGGGGGAGACAAGGGCATTAAGGGAAGGTCCAGCTCTCTCTTGGGGGCCCTGGGCCAGGGGAACTCAGAATAGGAGGAGGGGTTCTGGATCTGGGAGAAGGACAACAGGATCTGCAGAAGGAATAGGAAAGGGCCTAGATGGGGGTCTGTGGATAGGTTTGTGGGGGAGGGAGGATTGAAATCCAGAAAAGATTGGGTTAGAGGCTGCCTTATCGTAGGGAAGAAACCTGACGGCCTGGTTGTGAAAAGGGAGGAGGGGAGGCGAGGTCCCGGGGAGCAGGGTGTAAGTCCTGGCATCTCTTTGCCCCTCTCACCAGTGTCCCCCTCAAGGCCTGGTGCAGCCCAGGGAGATGCAGCCGGAGGAAATCCATCCTGTCTGTCTCTGTGTGTCCAGAAAGCTGACAATGACCGTCCCCACCCACCAAGACAAGCCAGTCTTCCCCAAGCACTTCCTCTTCCCCCATTTCCCCCTGACGTATCCTTACCCCAGGCCCTACCCACCTTCCGCAATGCCCGCAGCAGCTTCCATCCCAGGCTGGGAAATAGGTGTGCACCCCACAGGGAACTCAGGTGCATATTTGGAGCTAAAGAGCAAAGGAGGAAGCCAGAAAGGGGAAAAAAAATGGGAGCAGGGGACCTCAGAATTGGGAATGGGGGAGGGTGCGTGTGGCAACTGCAGCTCAAGTGACTCAGATCTTGTATTTACACCTCAGCCATTTCCGTCTCCCCACAAGCCACAGCCACTTTGTGAGAGGAAGCTGGGGTTTGTGGTTCCTGTTTCGCTTGGGGACAAGGAGTGGGAGTGAGTAGGGGGCTGGATAAGAGCTATGGCTTCTCATTTCAGGGTCATTAATGCTTCCCCAAGGGGAAGAAGGGGCTGGAATGGTCGCTTCGGTGCTGTTCCCTAATCTGTAGTCATTCTTGTGAAACAAAACTTGGCTAGGTTTTGTCCTGTGGTTGTGTCTGCCTCCCACCCTCCTGTGAGTTCCTTGAGGGCAGAGGCCGTGTAAGACACACTGACAAGTTTCTGGAGCCCTGCATGGGTACAGAAGCCCAGTTTTCATTGGTTGAGTGGCCTGGGAAGACCAAAAGGAGCATATTTCTAACAGCAGTCTGACGGCCTGGTTGTGAGAAAGAGCAGGCACAGGCTATTGGAAGCCCACATGAGATACTAGCAGGGGAAAGAGGTGATGAAGGAATAGCAGAATGCTTCTTGACCACCTGGAGAAAGGTGAGAGAATCCACTCCTTATGTGGGACTCTGTGAAGTGACATTGATTAACACCTCTTCCTCTAATCCGCTTCTGGAGCCCCACTTCCTCCGTTTCTAGTAGATAAAGGCGATGAGGTCACAGAGTCAGAACTCTGGGCTTTAGAACTATCTGGTCTCAGTTCCCTGTGTGCCGGCAGGAATCCGCAGCAGCCTGCTCAGCCAGCACCGGCCTCTGGTGCTCTCCTGCAGTCACCTTTCTAGCTTGGTATGATCATCAGGAACTTTCCTTTTGTTGTTGTTGTTTTCTCATCTGTAAAACCGGGGGTTGGACGTCTGTGACATTCTTTGGTTCTAGAATGATTTGGTAAAAGGACCTCCTAATGCCTTGGATACCGCCAATAATCATTCATGAAATCCTCTTAGGCGGGTGTGTTCCCTTTGCATTCCGCCTCTAAAGCCATGTCAGGACCGCGGAAAGAAATTAAGAAGGGCCTGAAGCTGTCCGTCTTTGCTCCCAGCCAGAAACAGTCGCGACTGGCCTGAGCAGCCAGGTGGCCATATTTGTTTTTGGCAAACGAGGGCGGCGGGCGCTGAAGCCGCTTCCCGCCATGATTAGTGTTGGCACCACGCCCGCTGCGGCTCGGGGCGCCATCAGGCTCACGTCGGGGCTCTTCTTGCCGGTCCCACCCACCCCAGGTTTAAGCCAGCGGTCCCGGGGTTCTCCTGGCCTCTCTGGGCGCCACGCCCCGAAGCTGGCAAGGCCTGAGGCGAAGCCAGAGAGGAAACCCGGAAGTGGGGGAGGCCCTCCGAGCACGTGATGGAGAAACCCGCTGGTGCTGTCACATGACCAACCGACCTGCGTCTCCTAGGTGCGGAATGTTCAGCTGCTCTTAAAGGTACAGGCTACGGAGACCCCCGCTTTCGAGGGGCGGGGGCAGAGTCGGCGGGTGGGGCGTGGGGGACCGGGAGGTGGGTCCCCGGCTTCGCGGAGTGGATGGCGGGGGGCGCGAGCGCAGCCGAGAAGCGCAGCTGGGACCAGCCGTGGGGCGTCGACCCCTCCCACCTGTCACAGACACTCGCCGTCCCGTTCCATCGGAGCCCACTCGGAACGTTCGCCGACTGCGGGCCCCGGGGGAGCCGGACCCTGATGCCATGGGAGGCTCTGCGGGCTCGCTGCGACGCCTTTCCGATTCCGAGGGTGAGTAGGAGCCCCCCCCCCCCCCTGGAGGGGCTGCCTCTGGCCCGGGGCCACCTGGCAGGCGGCTCCGGAGCAGGCGCCACCCGGGAGGACGCCCGGGGGGTCCCCGGACCCCTGAGAGGGCTGGGGTCAGGCTTCTTCTCGCCCTCCCAGGAGAGTTGATCTCCCAGGAATCTGAGGATCCGCGGCGCCCTCAGGACCGGCAGGGCGCCCATTGGAAGAACGTGGTTGGCTTCTGGTGAGTGGCCTGCAGCACAGTGCAACAGAAGTGAAATGGGTGGGAGGAGGGAGGCCCCCGGAGGGAGAGGGAAGTAAAGAGCCGAAAAAGGAGCTGAGCCCACCAATATTTACTGAACCACCTGGTTTGGCCTGAGAAATGTGTAACTTTCCCAAATTCAATCACCTTCCCGTTTTGGCCGGATTCTCTTGCCACCTGTGGGGTTTACTTCTTTTTATTCCAAACAGTTAAGCCTTTAAATCCATGAATATACATGGGGGGAGGGGGTTCAGCCTTATCTGGGGATGTTTTTCCCATTGGTTTGTAGAGAGAGCGGAGGGAGAGAGAAGAGAGAGAGAGAGAAGCATCGAGCTGAGAGACACACACCGCTTGGTTGCCTGGAGAACCTGCCACCCTTCCCTCTGTGGGCCGACATCTAACCGCTGAGCAAAACCGGCCAGGGCAATATATGTATTTTTTTTTTTAAGAAAACTTTAAATCACTACACTATAGAAGGCTGACATTTCCCTAATGCTCACTTAAATAAGTACATTGATACATTTTAAATATATTTTTATTGATTTTTGGAGAGAGTGGAAGGGAGAGGAAGAGAGAGAGAGAAACATCATCAATCAACTGCCTCCTGCATGCCCCCTACTGGGGATTGAGCCTGCAACCCAGGCATGAGCCCTGACCAGGAATCAAACCTGTGACCTCTTTGTTTCATGGGTCAACACTCAACCACTAAGCCACAAGGGCTGAGTATTTTTTAAAAGATCATCCATTGCTCTAATCAGTTTGGCTCAGTGGATAGAACATCAGCCTGTGGACTCAAGGGTCCCAGGTTTGATTCTGGTCAAGGGCATGTACCTTGGTTTTGGGTACCCTCTCCCTTCCTCTCTGTAAAAAATCAATAAAACATATATTTTAAATATATATATATATTTTAAATTACTTTAAGTACTGAAGAATACTCCTAACACCAACTTAAACATCGAGGACTTGGGTGGCAGATTGGGTTGGAAGTGGCTTCCCATGTAATCTAGTCACATGCCTCTCTGAGTCTCAGTTTCTCAACAGTGAGATGGGAAGAGCAATAGTCCCCCTTCATGGGCTTGTGTAAAGGACACATGAACTCTCTGGCGCTTGCACCCGGTTCCATTCCCATCACTGAGAGCTGCTCTGGGAGATGAACGTATGCAAACCAGATCCTTCACGGATCACAGGGGCTTTGGTATTGTGTTGTTTTGGCCCTTCTGCAACTCTGCCAGGTGGAAGGGAACTGTGTATCCCCACTTGACACGTGAATAGGCTGAAAACGTTCAAGTAGGAAGCAGCAAACTTGGGGCCTGTATATAGTTCTTTGGTTTCAAGCCCCACGAACTTTCTATTGACCCCCAGCGCGTCCGAAACCGGCTCCGTGGGTGAGAACTGCCCCAGGAGCTGGTGGGAGCTCAGAGGAACAGTCATCAAGGATGACTCTCTCCTCTTCCTGAGGGGAGTCTGGGAGATTAGATGTGAACCCAAGTCTGTGATCCCAATGCCCACGTTTCCAACCCTAACACTGAAGGGAGGTGAGGTGATAGAGAAAAGAGTGGGAGATGATTGAAGGAAAGGGCGGATTGGTGCTAGGGCTGCGGTTAGATTGCAGGTCTGAAAGGAGGTGAAGATCTGTCCTAATATGTCAGTTATATCCCAGTAAATTGGGGGTGCTCTGTCCTACTCACTCCAGGATCTTGGGCCTTTGCAACAACTTCTCTTACGTGGTGATGCTCAGCGCTGCTCATGACATCCTCAGCCACCAGAAGGAGTCTGGAAACCAAAGCCATGTAAGTGACCCTCCACCTTCACACGGTGGGAAGAGATGAGAGACTCACCCTGGGGCAGAAGCTCCCTGGAAACACTCATAGAAGGGTAGCACAAGGGATGGGGCCAGGGGCTGAAGTTCCCAGCCGCCCCGATCTCAGAGCAGGAAGGGTCTTTAGGAATCAGTTGGTGCCAAGTGTACAAACTCAGATGTTGGCCGGGTAGGACCATGGTCCATGGCAGATTCTTAACCCTCACACTGTTAACATTTGGGCTGGATCATTCTTGGTTGTGGGCCTGTCCTGTGCATTGTGGGATCTTCAGCAGCGTCCCTGGCCTCGTTGCCAGATGCCAATAGCACCCTCTGCCCCCCAGTTGTGACAATCAGGAGTGTCTCCAGATGCAGCCAAATGCTCCCGTGGGATATGATCACCTCTGGTTAAGGACCTCTTGTCTGTGAGCATCTCGAGGGCACATGCCCAAGGGGGGAAGCTGCCACCTTGCAAGTCCAACAAGGAAGCTGGCTCAAGATCAGATTTTGTGGAAACCCACATTCTTTCATGAAAGCTCCTGAACGTGTCACCCAAATAAAGTCTGTTTACGGGGCCACCTTGGCCAGTGGGTCCTTCTATGGAAACCTTCTCCTCCCCATTGTGCACACAGAGAAGCTGAGGTCCAGGAGGCCAGGGCCGGCTCAAGGCCATCCTTCAGGTCAGAGCAGAGCGGAGACTAGAGCCAGGCCCTGTTTGTCTCCCCTCTTGCCTCCCGGGGTGAAACACTTCCTTCTTTCCCATCAGGTAGGCCCAGGCCCCCACAATAAATCATCTCGCTTTGACTGCAACCCTGTCTCCACAGCTGTGAGTACCCATCTGGTCCTCTCCTGACCCCCAGCCCCACCCCCTCAGCATCCAGCTGGGACTGTCCTAATTACGACCATTAAGACTGCCATTCCCTGAGCCCTTTCTGTGTGTAGCTAATATTGGCTCGTTGCATCCACATAGCAGTACTGTGAGCTAGGCACTGTAACCATCGCCCATTTTCCAGATGAGCAAACTGGAGTCAGAGAAAGTGAATGCCTTGACCCCACAGCTAAGGAGTGGCAGAGTTGGGACTTGAACCCAGATCTAAATTCAAAGCCTGTCGCAGGTCTCCTTGGCCACTTGGTTCAGAGGTCTGTCCCAGGGAAGGTCTGGGGTCTCAGTCTGTCCTCCTGTCCCAGGCGGTGCTCCTGGCAGACATCCTCCCCACACTCGTCATCAAATTGCTGGCTCCCTTCGGCCTTCATCTGCTGCCCTACAGGTGGGGCAGGGGACCGGAGGAGGGGCGGCTGGACCCTGTGAGGAACTTGGAGGGCAAAGGCGGTGAGAGCCGAAGCTGACCTTGCCCTTCCGGCCCCTCTCCCTCAGCCCCCGGGTTCTCTGCAGTGGGTTATGTGCGGCTGGAAGCTTCATCCTGATCGCGTTTTCCCGCTCGGTGGCCATCAGCCTGTGTGGTGAGCATGAGGTTTTGTATCGGGTGGGGGCCCAGAGGAACTGCAACAGAGCATTTTGGGGAGCAGTCACCCCAACTCTGCAAAGGAAAGAGATTCTTTTTATAACCCTCAGAAGCTGCTAGGACTGCTAAGTAGAGCACGGGAGATGAGGTCAGTTTGGAGGCGTAGGTGGTGGGGGACATGGGAGGAAATGGATGGAATAGATGGAGATGGAGATGGGCAGAGAACCAAGGCTCCATCACAGGCAGAGGGGGCATCCAGGATGAGTTTTTACTCCTGGTTTGATAGCGGTGGGTGGTAGTGCCATTCATTCCTTGTGAGAGGGACTCATAGGAGGCTACGGTTCTGCTTCAGACCTGGAGCCCTGCCCGTCCAGGGATCTGTTTCAGCCCCTCTAAGCTGATGCAGAGGAGGCCATGGTCAGACACCTCCAGGGCCTGGGGAAGGGGAACGGCTAAGTATGGCCACTGTCATGCTTGTTGTCCCTCCAGGTGTGGTCTTGGCTAGCATCTCATCAGGCCTGGGGGAGGTCACCTTCCTCGCACTCACTGCCTTCTACCCCAGGTAAGCAGGCGGGGAGCGGGGAGCGGGCATAGGAGATCCCCTGCTGACTCTGGTCCTTCTTAGTGCCTCAGTTTCTCCTTCTCAGGGCTGTGATCTCCTGGTGGTCCTCAGGTACCGGGGGAGCAGGGCTACTGGGGGCATTATCCTACCTGGGCCTCACCCAGGCTGGCCTCTCCCCCCAGCACACCCTGCTGTCCATGCTGGGCATCCCCGTCTTGCTGCTGGCCAGGTAAGCTGTGCGGGCCGGGAGAGAGAGGGGTTTGAGGAGACAAAACTCGATCGGGATCCCAATCCTCAGATTCCTTTAGCCTTATAATGAGGGATGTAGGTTCTAGACTGACGGACCTGGATGTGAGTCTGGAGCCACCACATCTTAGCTGTGTGGGATGGGACAAGTTGCTTTACTTCTCTGACCTTCGGTGTTCCCCTATCTCAGTGGTCGGCAAACTGCGGCTCGCGAGCCACATGTGGCTCTTTGGGCCCTTGAGTGTGGCTCTTCCACAAAATATCACTGCCTGGGCAAGTCTACTTTGAAGAAGTGGCATTAGAAGAAGATTAAGTTTAAAAAATGTGGCTTTCAAAAGAAATTTCAATCGTCGTACTGTTGATAGTTGGCTCTGTTGACCAATGAGTTTGCCGACCACTGCCCTATCCCAAATGGTGGTCATTCTCCTTGCTTCCCTGCCAGGCGATGTGTGTGAAGCATCGAGGACAGTGTGGTTCCCGAGGTGACTTGAGGGTGGACTTGATTAATTTTATGTGTATTTGGGGAAAATTTTAACCAATCAAGCCTGTGATTTCACAGATAATTGCTTAGAACAAGGCCATGTAGAAAAGGGAAAGCATCAAGTAAAACATTATACACAGGAGAAGTGTGGATACGACAAACAGCATGGAGACAGAACAGAATTGAAGTGTGGGAGGTTCTGCCTTAGCACAGAATGAACACATGATAGGCGGTAGCTAGAGCAGCCATTAGGACAACATGTCAAGCAAACAGCTGACTAGCGGAGGGTGAGCCAGGCCCGGTCGGAGCAGCGAACAGACAAGTTTCAGCTCCAGGGAAGAAAGCGTTTTCTTCACTTGGGGCTCTCTGGCACAGGATGGGGTGGGCTGCCCCTCCTGCTGACTGCTGACCGAGGCTCTTGGCCTTCTCTCCTCCCACCTACTCCCAGCTATTTCTTTTTGCTCACATCGCCCGAGCCCCAGGACCCTGGAGGGGAAGAAGAGACAGAGAGAGCAGCTCGGCAGCCCCTGATAAGCAGCGAAGACCCTGAGACCCCCCAGCGGAAGCCAGGTTGGAGGCACAGGAGGTCCTCAGATTTAGCCTTCCTCCCCACAGTGCACCGTGGGAAGGGGACAGGGATGCCTGAGAGCCGATCACGTTAGCTAGTCAGGAAATGCTCATTGGGTACTGACTCTGAGCCAGACCCTCCAGGCACAGGGGTGGGTGGTGAGTACGATAAGGAAATGAGGCCGGCTGGTAAACAGCTGAATCAGAAACATGCTTTTCACGTATTGGGAAGTGCTGGGGGGACATAAAGCAGTGATGCACTAGAAAATGACAACTGGGGGAAATGGAGAGTTCTGCTTAGGCAAGGTGGTCCTGAAGGACTCTTTGAGGAGGGGTCATTGGGCTAAAATTTGATTGACAAGGCATCAGCCCCGTGGACATCCAGGAGAGCAGGCTCCAGGCAGAGAGAGCAAGTGCTGTGGGAACGAGCCTGGATGTTCAAGAAGCAGAAAGAAGGGGCCAGTGTGGCTGGGCTGGAGATGGACAGCCATCCAACTGTGCAGGAGCCGGGAAGAGGTCTTGTCTCTAACCATGTGAAACGCACATAGCACAAAGTTCCCAGTTTAACCGTTGTAACTGTACAATTCCGTGTTGGCGGGTTGATTCTCTCCCAGCAGCACCCCTTGGCGGAGCCCGTATGCCAACCTCACGTGCCCTTCTCTCCCTGCTCCTCTGCAGACTCCAGCTCAGGCCTCTCCCTTTATGAGAAGTGGACTGTGTTCAAGGTATGCACGGGGGCTGGGGCCCGTCCCCGCCTGTGGCCAGTGCCCGTCTCCCAGCCGACCACGTACGTTGTGTCTTCTGGCTCCTGCAGGGCCTGCAGTATTTCATCCTCCCGCTGATCCTGGTTTACTTTGCTGAGTACTTCATCAACCAGGGGCTTGTGAGTGAGGGCACCGGGAGTGGGGAGAGAGATCGAGGTGGAGACCCACGGGTCCCCGCTCATCTCCCCTGTCGGGTTTTTGCTGCAGTTTGAACTCCTCTTCTTCCGGAACACGTCCCTGAATCACGCTCAGCAGTACCGCTGGTGAGAGCAGCGAGGAGGTGGCAGGACGGGCTGTTTGCGGGCGGGCCTGGGGCAGGGAGGGGCTGCCATGTGAGCAGGCACCGGAGGGCTTCCTCCTCCTCCCTGCCCCTCTCTCAGGTACCAGATGCTGTACCAGGCCGGGGTCTTTGCCTCCCGCTCCTCTCTTCGCTGCTTTCACATCCGCTTCACATGGGCCCTGGCCCTGCTGCAGGTACGAGGCCCCTGGCCCCCACTCCAAACCCCCTTCACTCCATCCCCGCTTCCCCACGCACAGGAACAGAAGGCCAGCAGGGCTGCGTGTGCAGTGTGTCCTTGGAGCCAGGCAAAGCTGATGTAGATCCCAGCTCCTGTACTCAGCAGCTGTGTGACATAGGGCAGGTCTCCAAACCAGTTTCTAGTTTCCTCATTCTGAAATCGGGCATGGCCACCATCTACTTCTCAGGGTAGTTGTAAGAATCAGAGGTGAGAAGAGGAATGAAAGAACAAGACTTTATATTGTGTCTCAATCAGGTAGAATCACTTACATCCTGATTGTTTGCACAAGCCTCAGGTAGAGCCACAGGCCTTCAAATAACATTTCCAACAAAAGAAAATGCAGTCCTTTTACTCTGCATGGATAATTATAATAGAACTAGAAGCGTGACGCATGAAGATTGGTGCCTGAATGGGCTTCCTTTCCCTGGCTATCGACACCACCGGTCTGACAGAGCCGCCTTTCCACCTTCCCACGCTGCCTAGAGGCCCGGAGTGGTTGTGGGTGGTACAGAATGCCTGCGTTGTCGTCGCTGCCATGGTGATGACACAAGCGTCCCAACCCACTCCCAGCCGCTCGGTGCCTGCATATGCAAATTAAACCACCATCTTTGTTGGATTAATTTGCATGCTCCTGGTTGACTGGTCGGTGTCACGAAGGTATGGTCAATTAGCATGTTACTCTTTTATTAGGTAGACTAGAGACCTGGTGCACAAAATTGTGCACTTGAGGGGTCCCTCAGCCCGGCCTGCTCCCTCTCGCAGTCCAGGAGCCCTCGGGGGATATCCACTGACGGCTTAGGCAGGGAGCAGGCCTAAGCCAGCAGTTGAACATCTTTAGAACTGCCTTGGAGGAGGAAGAGGCTCCCACCACCACCACCACCATCACCACCGCTGCGTGAGCCTGGCTTTTGGCTGAGCGGCACTCCCCCTGTGAGAGCGCACTGACCATCAGGGGGCAGCTCCTGCATTGAGCATCTGCCCCCTGGTAGTCAGTGTGTGTCATGGTGACCAGTTGTTCCACCATTTAGTCAATTTGCATATTAGCCTTTTGTTATATAGGATCAGTGACATTGTACTCAACCGATTGTATATCTCAAGGCTGGTGAGCAAGTTCAACTACCCACGACAAAAGTAATCTACGGCTTTAAGAAAACAAACACCTTTCCCTACAACAGTCTAACAAAAATACTTTTTTTTAAATCCTCACCCAAGGACTTGCTCAGAGAGAGGAAGGGAGAGAGAAACAAACATCAGTGTGTGAGAGAAACGCTGATTGGCTGTCTTCTGTATGTGCTCGGACAGGGGTCCAACCTGCCCCTGCAGCCTTTTGGTGCACAGGATGACACTCCAACCACTGAGCCACTCTGGCCGGGCTAAGAAAAGTACTTTTGCTTAATCAGCATGTATTCTTTCTGCAGCCCTGTAGGTAACTACCAAGGTTAACTTTCAATTACGATAGGAATGTCCTTTGCCCTTTTTAATGTACTTAAATCCATAACAAGATCTAGAATAAGTATAGATTACACTTGAACATTATGGCACCAGCATGCCAGTACCTCTAGCTTTCTTTCTCCTTTATTTATGAAGCAGTACCGCCAGCCGAGGGCTTGGCAGCTCCAAAGGCCCAAATTGTTGTGTTCATACATCTTAACTCGGGGTTCTTCATTAGATGCTGCCGACATGGAGTTTATGATTTTAGTTAGAATGCCAGCCAAGGCTGCTTTGTAGAAATAGGGGCGTGTAAGCATTTCATTCCATTACAGACAGCGTGTAGCCGGACGCTGCAGGTGGAAGTGTTGGCAGTGTTCCACAGGTCACGTTGGTATTACCAGAGTGTGTCCTTTTCAATGCAGACTTCTGAGCCTCGCTCAGACGGGATGAATTAGGACTTCTGAGGGCGAGGCCTGTGGGTGACCCTCCTGTGCATCAAACCGTGAACTGCTGTGGTGACAGTCCTGCACTCAGGATGGGACACTGGGGTCCCCTGAGGGGCCGGGGCACCAAGGAGGGACCTACACCCTTGGGTGGGGTCAGAGAGGCTTCCTAAATGAGCTGGGAACAGCTAAGCCAGAGTGTCTCTGCCTCAGCGCTGGGCCCCATCATTGTTTGTGGTGGGCTGTCCGGCCCCTCTGGCCTCCACCCTTTAGATGCCAATAGCAGCCTCCGTTCCCAGTTATGACAACCAAGGTCTCCAGACATTGTCAGACGTCCTGTGGGCAGCAAGCCACGCCCCAGTGAGAACCACTGGTCTAAGGGTGGCCTCTATGGGGGACGCTGCTCAGGGAGCCCTTGGGAGGAGGAAAGCGTCACAGGAGTAAGTGGCCCTGGTCCAGACTGAGCTTTGGACAGTGGCAAAGGGACCCCACGTGAGGGGAGGTGGAATGGCGTTCCAGGAAGTAGCAGTGCCGTGAGCAAAGGGACCAGAAAGGAGACCCACGAGGTCTGGGGTGCTGGGGTAGGGTAGAAAGAAGGGGTGACCCAGACCCCACAGTCCGGTGGCCAGCTGGATGTTGGGATTCCACCCCTCCTGCCAGCCCTCCCTCATCAGTGTCTCCAAGAACTGGGGCCACTGGCGGGATGGCAGCCTCCCTTCTCCTGCCGAGAGTCCAGGCTCAGCCCTGCCCCCCACCTGCACCCATAGTGCTTCAACCTGGTCTTCCTGCTGCTGCACGTGTGGCTGAACTTCCTGCCCAGCATCTACCTCGTCTTCCTGATCATTCTGTACGAGGGGCTCCTGGGGGGTGCCGCCTACGTGAACACCTTCCACAACGTCGCCCTGGAGGTCAGCACCGGCCAGGCGAGGGCTGTGGGCGGCCTCTCTGGGGAGAGAGCCAGGGCAGGGGTGTGGAGAACGGAAGCCTCACCCCTGCTCTCTGCCTTCCCTCCCCCAGACCAGTGACGAGCACCGGGAGTTTGCCATGACAACCACCTGTATTTCGGACACCTTGGGGATCTCCCTGTCAGGGCTCACGGCCCTGCCCCTGCACGACCTCCTCTGCCACCTCCCCTGACACTGGGCTTCTTGGGACACAGGAGGCCCTGGCAGATGGGCAGGCCGACCCCGGGCCCACAGCCCAGGGCCCAGCCATGAGCTCTGCCCCTGGACTGCCCTGCACAGCGGGGTTTTAGAGAAGCTGGGTTCCGTCCCCCCTGGTCAAGGGGCGGCCACTTTCTCCCCCTCCACGCTGACCTCTGGGACTTTCTTGGAATTATGCCCTCGGAATAAATGCCTATATTTATCCATTGATTCTGGTGCCATTTTCCTTCTTGGAAAAAAAAATTTTTTTATTATAAAAGTAATACCAGCCCACTTTGGAGTATATACAGGAGAGTATAAAGTCAACATTTCAGCAGATTTCTGCCTAGTCTTTCAGACTTATTAATCCACTCACTCGCTATGAGGAAGTCTGCACACATTTTTCTCCAGCACGTAAGTTTCAAACATGCAGGGAAGCTGGAAGAATTGGTGCAGTGAGCACTCACATGGCTACTGCCTGGCTTCTGCAATGGTCCCTTTGCTGTAGCTGCATCAGCTCTCCATCAGTCCATCTTCTTCTTGTAACGCGCTTCCACGGAGGAGGCTGGAAGCTGGCTCTGGCACTCTTCACACTGGGTCTTTTACTCCTGCTTGGTCAGCGGTGAAGACCTTACACCCCAAGGCTGAGGTGGCCCGAGCCCAGACAGTGTTGGTGGTTAACATCAGCACAGCCTGGGGGCTGTAGGACATTCTGAGGACCACCTTGGGGCCTAGAGGCACCATGAAGATGCTTGTTTCTGGAGCTAGAGACATCAAGCTTACTAAAGATGGCAAGTGCTGCTTCATGAAATGCAAATTCAGTGCCCAACAGTCTCCTTGATAGCCAAAATAGAAAGAGCCCAGGCGATGGTACCACTTCCAGGGTCCTAATCACTGGAGGACGGCTAAAACAGGGGCGTCTCTACATGTCTGAAGGTCTCATCCCAGAATCATCACATGGATTGGAAGCTGCAAAGGAAAAAGGTACTTCAGGTTTTAGAACAAGTCAAAGTAAGCAAAGAGAATCTTGTTCCCATTCTCATTCCCTCTCTCTCTCTCTCTCTCTCTCTCTCTCTCTCTCTCTCTCTCTCTCCCCCCCCCCCCCATTTTGACCATTAAAAAGAAAAAAAACAAGATGAACCTATTGACCTCTTAATGGTTGAGATCTTGGATACAAGCTTCATCAGAGGTCTTGTTTTGGTCAGTGAGCATGGGATCCTGGCATGAGAATGAGAGTGGTAGATGCAAACATCCTCAAATGCAATGTGTCAATAGAATATGAAAAATAAGTAAATTCTGGCTTGTTTTTTTTTTTTTTTACAAGAGTGCAGAAGAGAGAAACCAGAAAAATCTGAAGGAAAATTCATTGAAGATAGAGTTTAAAAATAGTAGAACCGAAAAGGAAATCCTGTAGAAACTCAGATAAAGGATTTGTTGTTATTCATCAAAAGGGAATTGACAAAAAAAGAGAAAAAAAAGAAATTGACCCATTTTCTTTAGATGCTCTTGCAAGAGAGGGCATAGTAGCTGCACAGAACTAGAAGGAGAAGTATGGGAAGGCTGGCTCTTAAGTGGAAAAGCCCTCTCTTAAGTGGAAGATCCCCATCAGGGATCAAGCCTGCAACCCAAGCATGTGCCCCGACCAGAAACTGAACTGTAACCTCCTGGTTCATAGGTCGATGCTCAACTACTGAGGCTCACTGGTCAGGTTGTACAGACCTCTTTTAGGTACAATTTATATACAGTAAAACGCACAGGTGGTTATATTTTAAGTAACTGATGTGGGCTGAGCAATGTTTCCCATCTTTCACTGTTACTATCTCTATCATATTTGGTATATCTATGTATACAAGTACTTTTACTTAGTATTTTTTTTATAAAGTGACTAACTTTTTAAATATATATCCTCTCTAATAAAAGAGAACCGGGCAAATGGACCATACCTTTGCTACACCCACAAGCCACACCTACCAGCCAATCAGGACGAGTATGCAAATTAACCCAAGCAAGCTGGCGGTTGATTTGCATATCCAGGCCAGAGCAAAGGCTGAAGACCGCATAGAAAGAAGCCAAGTTGCAGAGAAGCAAGCAAGCAGTTCGCTGGAGACGGCAGGGAAGCAGGCGGGGCAGGGAGAAGGGAGAGAAGCCAGTGGGGCAACTGAGACTGCAGCAGGAAGCCCTATTGCAGGAATCTTCCTGCAAGAGGCATCTGATAGATAGATAGATAGATAGATAGATAGATAGATAGATAGATAGATAGATAGATTAGAGAGAGAGAGAAAGAGAGAGAGAGAGAGAGACATCACTAGACACACCCCTGCAGGGGATTGAACCTTAAACCCAGGCATGTGCCCTGACCAGGAATCCAACTACTGAACTCTTGGTGCACAGGACGATGCTCAGCCACCTGCACCACACCAGCCAGACTAGGTCTCCTTTATTTTCTTCCAATAATGCTGTGTAGTTTTCAGAGTATATATTTTACCTTTATTTGCTAAAATTTTTTAAAATAAGTGTTTTTATTGATTTTTTTAAAAAACATTTTTATTGATTTTTAAAGAAAGGAAGGGAGATGGAGAGAGATATAGCAACATCAATGCTGTGGCTCAGTGGTTGAGTGTCAACCTATGAACCAGGAGGTCACAGTTGGATTCCCAGTCAGGGCACATGCCCAGTGTGAGTTGTGCAGGAGGTAGCTGATCAATGATTCTCTCTCATCATTGATGTCTCTATCTCTCTCTCTCTCCCTTTCCCTTTCTCTCTGAAAGCAATAAAAATATTTTTTAACTAAATAAATAAACCTTTGTCACAGACAACAGTATGGTGAAGGCGTGGGGAGGGGGCAGGAGCAGGATGGAGAGGGTCAATGGGGGCAAAGGGGAGGGGACATCTGTAATATTTTCAACAATAAAGATAAATTTTAAAAATAATAAAAAAATAAACCTTTGTGCATTATAAATTTTCCTCATATGAGTATTTGTTTAGAATAGATTCTCAGAACTGAAATTTGTAGGGATGAGCATTTTTTTTAGGTTGTTGATGTTGTTTTAGGCTTTCTACCATGTTTTTGAAAGGTTTTTTGTTTGCTAACCCCGTTTATATGCATCGTTGCTTATCACATACTCTCTTTGGTACTTGGTACAATCATTTTTAAATCTTTTTTTTAATATATTTCATTGATTTTTTACAGAGAGGAAGGGAGAGAGAAGGAGAGCTAGAAACATCGATGAGAGAGAAACATCGACCAGCTGCCTCTTGCACACCCCCTACTGGGGATGTGCCCACAACCAAGGTACCTGCCCTTGACCGGAATCGAACCTGGGACCTTTCAGTCCACAGGCCGACGCTCTACCACTGAGCCAAACCGGTTTCGGCCATTTTTAAATCTTTGCTAAGTGAGTAAAAATATACTTAATCTTGATTATTTTAAAAATTACCTTTAACAGCATTATTGAGACATTAGAGGTTCAGCCCTCGCAGCCTTGGCAGCTTGCCTCAGCCCTCGAAGCCGCCAGCTTCATCTGGAAGGTTGTCCAGAAGGTCATTCGGCTGTCCAGTCTAATTAGCATATTATGTTTTTATTATTATAGATACTTCACCAACAATAAAATTGGTTTTCAGTATAATTCAAGATATGTGTGACCATCACCAGTAAAAATTAAAACAACTTTATCACAAAGTAAAATACTATAATCTTTACCTACCACCCCTTCCCTACCTTTCCCCCACAGCCCTAAGAAACCACCAGTCTACTTTCTGTCTACAGATTTTCCTATTTTGGGCATTTCCTATAAATGGGATCATAATGTGTGGTCTTCTGTGACTGGCATCTTTCACTTAGCATAATATTTTCAAGATTCATCCATGTTGGAAATCACCTATTCATTCTTATGGTTGATTCTTTTTTTGACTTAAGGTGTGTGTGTATTTTTTAAATATATTTTATTGACTTTTTACAGAGAGAAAGGCAAAAGGAAAGGGATAGAGAATTAGAAACATTAATGAGAGAGAAACATTGACTCAGCTGCCTCCTGCACACTCCCTACTGGGGATATGCCCACAACCAAGGTACATGCCCTTGACTGGAATCGAACCTGGGGGACCTTCCAGTCCCCAGGCCAATACTCTATCCACTGAGCCAAACTGGTCAGAGCTTATGGTTGAGTTTTATTGCACTGAGTATATATACAACATTTTGTTTATCTATTCATCAGTTGTCAGGCACTTGGGTTGTTTCCATTTATTGGCTGTTATGAACAAGCTGCTATAAACATTTGTCAATTTTTTGTGTGGACCTATGTTTTCATTTCTCTTGGGTAATACCTAGGAGTAGATTTGCTGGCACTTGGTAATTCTGTTTGATCCTTTGAGGGAGGGACCTGCAGACTGTTTTCCAGCATGGCTATGCCATTTTGCATTCCACCAGCATATATGAGGCCTCTACTATTCCACACCCTCAGCAGTAGTTGCTGTTTCTCTTTTTGTTTGTTTGTTTGTTTTGTTTTAATTGTTATTATAACCCTCTACTGGGTGTGCAGTAATGTCTCATTGTGGTTTTGATCCGCAATTCCTTGAGGACTAATGATTTTGAGCATCTTTTCGTGTGCTTGTTGGCCATTCATACATCTTCGTTGGAGAAAAATGTCTATTCAAATCCTTTGCCCCTGTTTAAATTGGATTTTTGCCTTTTTGTTTTCTTTTTTTAAATATTTTATTTTAGAGAGAGAGGAAGGGAGAGGAATAGAGAGGTAGAAACATCCGATTGTCTGCTTGCACACCCCCATGGGAATCAGGCCCAAAACCTGAGCATGTGCCTGACCAGGAATTGAACTGGCAATCTCTTCAATATTCATGGTTCATGGATTGACACTCAACTACGGAGCCACACCAGCCAAGCTACCTTTTTATTTTCAAGTTGTAAGAGTTTCTTATATCTTTAGATAAAGTGTCTTATCAGATGTGTGATTTTGACTATTTTCTTCCACTTTACTTTCT